CTTCCTGGGGAAGGTGGCGTCTATCCGCGACAAAGGCGGACGGTGTGCCTTTTTCCGGCGCGGGGCGCAGTTTTTCGAAAAGGAACGCGCTCCATGTATCCACGTGACTGGGGGTGGGAGGAGGCGGATGGCTGAGGGAGTGGATGCGACGGGAGGGAGATTTAATGTTAATAATAAGTTACGATGCTTCCCTTTGTGCCGCACGCGGCGAGCTGAAATACCGGTCCCCGGTAATGTGCCACGCGTGTTCCGGGACAGGGTGCGGCGCGGGGTTGCTGCACTGAGAATCGAGTTGATTTTCCTATGGGATCCTCGGGTTGCAGGTTTTTTCGACGTTTTTCGAGTTTCAGTGGGAGCTGGTTTGATTTCGGTGGTTGAGTGGGTTTTCAGGTTGGATTTGGGAAATGGGTTTTGGGGATTTACTTGTTTGCGTTAACCCCCTGTTATGGGATTTCTTCTGTAGCTGGACTAGTTAGGACTATTTTGTCGCTGATAATTTAGTAGAGAAATATGGAGATCTTACTGTTATTCTATGTTTAGGTTTACTTTAGAGCATAACGATTGGTGATAGGTAAATGATATTTAATTTTTAAAGAAAGAACTGAATGGCGTTTGTGGTTATTAAACTTGATTTGAAGTCTTCATCGCTAGTTCTATTCGAAGTTCTAAGGAAAATAATTATTTTCAGTTGTGTGTGTTACTCGATTATATCGATCGAAGTTGATTAATTTTATACAAAAGCTTGAGAGACTTTCAGTATGTGAGATTTATAAAGTAAGCTTTATATTTAGAGTCCAGAGGCAAATGGGTTAAATAATGAGAAGAAAAGAGTGACTTACCATGTGTATGGTGTTGTGTAGGATGAATTTTTATTTGATTGATGAATTTTCTTTGGCTGGTGGGTAGAATATTTATCTGAAATAGAAAGAAGAGTTTGTTAGGAGATTTCAGTGTACATTTTGGTTTTCATTGGTGATTCTTGTTCTTTTAAACTTAATTTGAAACCTTTTGTATTTCTGATTTTTGAAACTTAGTGATAGTACTGAGCAATTCCTTTTTTATTCAAGAAAATAAATAAAGAACGAATATTAGTTAATATATTCACTTAATACCCGAAGTATTCTACTAAATAAAAATAAATAGGATATTTGAGTACATTATTCAATCAAATAAAGATAAATTATTCAAACATTTCACTCCACAAAGTTCAAAAATACCTAAATCCTAATCAAAAACACATTAAAATACCTACTCCTATAACTGTTCAAAAAAAGTGACACTCAAAAACATCACAAACTCCCAAAAACCCTTCCACAATACCAAATCCAAAACACCAAAACAAATCCTCTCAAACATTGCAAATCAAAGCAGCCCACTCTCAATAACCCCTCCCAAATCCCATGAAAATAATTCCCCAGTACGCACAATTAACGAAACCATCACGAACAAGAATTTCATCTCTCAATTATCTCCCGCGTAACGTTCATTCGAAGCAATTGCCGCGCCGGAGAATGCACCTGACCCCGGTCGAAGCAGGTTGACGGTTCAAGCATTTTTTCCCCTTTCACTCGTTCGCTGGCGTGGCGCTAAGCGGAGGAACAATATACTTCTTTCGATCCCGGTTACGTTCTCACGTTCGACACGTACACACGCCGGCGTCGCGCGGTACAAGCAATGACATATGTCATTGACGCGCGTTACCACGGCCAGCCTAAAGTGGTTCCCGCTACTCGAGAGGCAGCCAGCCATCGGGGGAAAATGTTTAAACGCGTTCCGCGCACCCTCGCCGAGCCGCTTGCGAAATTGCGCCGCGTCCTTTCGCACCGGGTCTCCGCGCTCGTCGAGCCCGGCCACCGTGCGAAACTTAAAAAGACAATTGCCCGGGCAAGCAATATAAATGTTAAAACAACATGTCCGCGGTAATTCTCTTTTTTAGTGCCTTCATCAACGTCGACGGTAAAGGGTGCGGACGGTATCGCGATATTGTCGCGGGGAATGATAATATCCGCGGCTCCGCGCTCTTTTATCCCACCAAGGGGCGGGGAATTTTGTTCGGTGACAAATAATTATTATAATTGACGGGTAACGGGGGCTTGTTCATTGCGGATTTTTCATTCTCCGCGGGAGAATTTGTGGAATCTACCCCCGGATTTATGAACTTTCGGGGTTGATAATTTAATGCGTTCATAGTAAATAATTCCGGAATTTTGGAAAGTGAAAATGAATTTCATGTATTTTTGTTGTCTGGTGTTTATTGCGATGGTATTTATCGATTTAGCGTGGAGTGTTCGAATTAAAGGGTTGTGGATTGTTTTATGTGGTTTTTATGAGAAACTTGTTAGCTAGGGAAATGAAATTCTCCCTCGTTTCTTTTTATCAAATTTATAAATATTGGAATTTCCGAGGTTTCGGTAATTTATTTAATTCTACTTTCGTTAGAATTTAAGTAACACGATATCTAGTCTCTAATCATTAACTACTAGAATTTAAATCGAATTAACAGCTGAGGATTAAGTTAATTCGACTAATTGACAAAACTAATACAACTAATATTCTACCACAAATCACAAGCCACCAGAAGTAGTATCCCCACAATAAATTTATACTTTTATAGTTTACAGATCTCAACGAGAAGAGGTTCGAGATATCTCATTCAAGAATTATCCTACCTCGAATCATAAGCTACTAAAATTTCATAAATCCAATTAATAGCTGAGCAGTAGCATTAAATTAACAAACCCAATTAAGAATAACTTAACCACGAATGTTGACTCTCGATAAAAGACTACGTTATCAAACGTACTTTTCCCACAGTAAATTTACACTTTTATAGTTTACAGATCCCAGCGAGGAGAGGTTCGAGATATTTGATTCGAGGATAATCATCGCGCGGAATGACGGCACATCCAGCCGATAATAAATTTCTGAAAAGCCTCGATTCATCGTGGGCACGTAGACGCGCTAAGAGGCTCGAGCGCCGCTGCAATTTCCCCTTTAAATGTGTCTACTGTGCATTGAGAATTCCCGATCGAGTTTGCGAACACGTTCAGCGCGCCGACCGAAAGTAAGTTTAAAGAAACGCCACGGTAACTTCCTCTTCCTCCGCCGCTCGTCGTCATAAAGTCGACCTAATAACGCTTTTTTAGACACACGCATAACTTCCTTCTGGAATTTTATAACATCCTTTACGAGGCCGGCGCGCGGACGAGCAGCTACGAGCGGACGTTCGACGATGTTCAACAATGCGACGTCCGGGGATTTTAATACTGGATAGTTCATCGATGCGCCGATCATTTTCTCGAATTTTTATTCAGATTTAACGCTAAAACTACCGGACACAACGAACTGACTCGGTCCGGAATTTTTATTTTGCAATTATTTGAATTATACAGCCGTTTTCGTGAAAGACTTTAACACTAAAACTATCGGACGAGGTTTCGAATTTCTTTTCTTTGCATTTATTGAAAGGATAATGGATGTTATACATTTGTGATAACATAATTAGTTCTAATAATCGTGAGATGAGGAATGGTAAATAAGTTATTATAAATCTGGTAGTTCTAGTGTTAATAAAGAGTTTCCAAGAAATTTTTTATTCATATTTTATTTACTTGTCTCACATTTCATCACAATATCGTTCCAATCAAAAAACCATTGATCATTATCTATAGAAGCTTATTTAATGTTTATTATATTTCAATTCTTCTGTTATTTACTTGTCTCACATTTCATCGCAATATTGTTCTAATCAAAAAATCATCGACTGTTACATACAGAAGCGACTACGCGGAAGGTTGAACATTAATTATGCTCACCATACAAGATTCCAAAGAATGTGGTAAAACGTATGATGACTGCAGTCCATAAAAAAGAGGGATGTAGGTTCTAGTCGTTTATTACAGTATTATGCGGAGCATCATAAAGATTTTTATAACAGAAGGTAGTAAAGATCTCGGTTATTATAGTCTGGTTTTCGAAGAAGGGACTCTACGGATACCGCAAGTTTAGGTTAGGTCTGCTGCGGTTAAGACATTGCTGTCTTGCCCCGACCCGGGATCCCAAATGGTACGATCTCGGAGTGATTAGAATGGGGTCAATAACTATTATGACCAACGGTGTACCAAAGGTCTCGTCTCCCGAAAAACAAGCCATAAATATTGGCAAGTTCCTCGAGTGCAGCCATTCGGTTTTATTGGTAGCACCTCGTTGCATGTCCTGAAATAGAGTTTCTTGAAATACGTCCTTCTTCTGGTGCCACGTCATCTATCTAGATCCTTCTATCTAGAAGAGATCCTCTTTCAATTATCAGAGACCAAATATTTTAAAAATGTACGTCCCATCAGGAGACGTCTAGTGAAATTATAGAT